GATTTCAAATAGTTATCTTCACTCCTTAAAATGATTAAATAAATGATACTATAAACATATTATATATAAAGAAACCTGCGAGCTTTATTTTTCTGTCTGGATGCGATCCTTGTGATCTTTTGAAAATCCCTTTTTCATCTTTTCATTAATAATCTCCGAACTCGCTCTCTCTCTCTCTCTCTCTCTCTCTCTCTCTCTCTCTCTGTCTCTCTGTCCTATTTAATGTATGTTCACCTAATCAATATAAATAATTTCATTCACTCAATCACTCAACACATTTTAATAATCACGGACAATCAATCAATCAATCGAAAAGCTGTCACTCTTATTAGATTTAATAGCCTAATTAATACAATAATCAAATAATATACGTTTCGCCTTCGTTTAATGTGATCCTTGAGATATGAAAGTGTAGACACGATTCCAAAGATCTTTTAAATATTTCCGATGCATACAAAATTCCATTAGTCATATGCACTCTTAATTAACATTATTGGTAATAGAATCGGTTTAGTCTTTTCTGTTCGCTCTCGAAATATTTTGCCTAGATAAGACAAGGCTGGATTCGGTGCTGATTAAGTGCGCATTTAATTTTCAGTTAAAATATTTATTTTAATAATAATGAGCCATTCAGAGGATATCCCCTCTAGCTATAAGCACGTTAATGATCGGCAAGCATTATAGATTGATTAATTGAATTGACGTAATCATGCATTACATGGCTAGCAATTGTCTAAGTTTGTCTTGTAAAGCTTCAGTTGGTGCTGGCTCGGTTAACGCCGATAAATATTGCCTTAAACGCGGAGACATACAGGTAAGTATTTTTGATGTATGATGATGGCAGATGGCAGATGGCAGATGGCAGATTGGTGGGGATATGGTTCAGGACTTAACAATAATATTTTATAGGCTGACTTAAGATGCGTTTAAACAAAATACATTTTAATTTTTTTCTTTTTTTCTCTTAAATGGTTCACTCCCTTATAATATGCTTTAATGTTATTAACCATTGATTCGAAATTATTCGCAATATTGGTATGCAAAGTTGCTGAGATACAAGTTGAATCTTAATAAGGACTTTCAATACCTAACCTAGACTTTGTTGCGACTATAAATATATAAATGAAAAATAAAAAAGAAATGTTGAGTGCCATTACCGCCTCGACGAGAAAAAATTGAAAACATTCCGTTCAAGTTTTCCTGTCGCTGAGTTGGATAACTTTCGAGGTGTTACAACTTGAACGACAAATTTAGTATATCATTGGTACGTATGAGTAGGGTATACTAAAAATGAAATCAAAACCATCAAAACGGTAGGAAGGTAAGGGTAGGACAAACAACAAACGCTACGAAAACTTATCTTTTTAAATATCTCTGCGATAGTTTTGTTACGTCTTTTTTTTTTTTTTAAATATCAAGAGCGTGTTTTTATTAAAACAAATGAAAGAATTTTTAAGTTAATGAATAAGAATGAATTGAGAAAGTGTTGTTGTTTGTTTTGATGGTTTCCTACATATTTTCAAGGATTTAAACAACAAAAGGTTGAAGAAAGTCAACCAGCAATTTATGTGTTTAGATATGCAATCAACTAACCAGACTTAATATTTAATAAAAATGCTACGATCAAAGGGTTAGACAGGAATTTTTTTAAACAGTTTTTTTTTTTTTGTCTATTTGCCTATAAGTTTTTTTTTACCAGTATATATAAAAAAGTGAAGACAGCGTAAGAACATAGAAAGCCGGGAACGGTAGCGAGTAATACATTAATAATATTATGTACACGCCCACTAGCTGTCAGCATAATATGGTTGATAATATCTAATCAAAATTTTACGGCAATTAGTGACAAAAAAAAAAAATAAAGAAAAACGCCGCGATTCGCAAATTCCAGTGAAAGTTGAAATTCGTACTGTCATTTTAATGAAAATAAGCGAGCGGTGGTTCACATGTTCTTACAATTTGAGAAAAGGCAAAAGGCGGCGAAAGATATGTGCGCTGTATACCGCGGTCATGGTTTAACACTTGAAAAATCATCGAAGTTTTACGTATATCGACTTCGATATCCTTCGTTTATGGCATTGCCACAGTGTGAGACTGAAATTTGGCGAAAAACATTTCTTGACCGGCTGTTAAAAAATGCGGGTAATCGAATACAGGCCTACAATAGATAAGATATTAGAATAAATTCGATAAAAAATCGATAATATTTTATTATATAATCATCTCTAACTTTCATGAAGATATGTACGAGAAATTGTTACTTAGATACCCATAAAAACTCGATCTTGAAGTGGTTTTAGTCCATCTCTGTTCAACATACCAAAAAAAAAAAAAGAAAAAAAAAAAGTGGTTTAAATCGGCCTAATTAACTGTTTCAGGCTCGTCCATAAAAAAAGGGATCAAAATGATACCTTTCGGTAGGAGGAGGTATTTTTCGTCGACTAGTCGAAGGAAACGAAGTAGAAACAAATTAATTATAGATATTTTTTGAGAACTATTTTAAATAAACAAACGTCATCGAAAAATTTTGAAGCATTACATGCTTTGTTAAATTTTTTTTTTTTGGAAGCTCAAGGTCTGCAATTGTGTGTTATTTTGTTGTCTAATAAATGAATTTTTCTTTTGAAATCTCGCTGCGCGAGTGTTTCTAGCTGTACCGTGAGAGCAGATGCAAGGCATACAATGCCAAGTTTGAATTAATTTTTCGCACGATATAGGTAAATTTGCGACCTTAATAACCCGATAACGATCGGAATATGACGAAAATGTTTTAAAACTGAAGGACACGAAAAGATAAATTTAAATTGGTTTCGCTCTTGTTTATCATCTTTCTGACAACATATGAATTTTATGTAGAAAGAGACGAATGAGCTTCGAAGCCTATCGGGAATACATGGATGCTAGCGTATTAACCAGGTGCCAATAGGACATCAAATGGGGACATGTTTGAAAAGGACAATACAAGGTTAGCGTATATGCCGCCCGATTCTTTGACTCAATCCCATTAATTGGTGTTCTTCCCTAGTAATGGTTTAATTTGATTGAAATAACTTATAACATTATATACTATATCTAGCTAACATACCATCAACAGTGACAAGTAAAAACGCTATAGTGGGTCATGGCTCACCATAGAATACCCTACGCCACTGTACACTTATTCTTGGTTAAAAAGGGTGCTCCGATACGAACCAAATTAAGGAGCGTTTGTGTATGGGTCATCAACATTTCATCAAAATATTTCGAAAATTTGCGATTTGTTGGAGATTAAACACAAGAAAACCAAACGGAAAGACGGACAGATTCCGAATGGATCGGTATGATAAAAGATGGATCTATCTCAAGACTTTCTAGGTGTTATATTCGTACAAACTTAATTTATTTTTGTATCATAACTCGTTTAGAGTGTAAAAATTATTCAACGTTTCAAATGTTTTTGTGGATCTTCTACGTCTCCTTGTATATATGATTAAAAAGAATCTAATTAGCTTTAAAGCTAAATGCAATAAATTTCCAAAAAATATTTATTTCTCTATTTAATCATAGCAAAGTGAATGACTTTAACCGATTGATATGGTCTAGGCGAACAAACTTCTCATTCGCGAACAGAGTACACAACCCTGCCATAAAAGTGTACTAATTTTTCATCTGACTTAAAAATAGATGACGTTGGGGACGTTTGAAGTTGAACCATGTATTTATTGTCATGTTCGTATGTGGCTGTCTGCTTATTTTCTTTATTTATTTTTCTTGGTTTTTTTTTTTTCTTGTTATTTTTTTGGTGTAAGAGAGTTATGCAAATATATTTCTAATTATGTATGCTATTCATGCAGAAAATTA